CACCATCTTGGTTGGGTTAATTTGCATATAGTCACTCTGATTGGCTGGTGGGCATGGCTTGGGGCATAGCAGAGGGGCAGTCAATTTGCATGTTCCTCTTTTTTTAGATTAGATAGAGATAAAGAGCACAGATGATGGTCCACTGGGGGTAGGAGTCTCCACCCCTTCTGTCACTGTAGAGAGGAGCAGGTAGAGGGCACCCTCATGCTGGGGCCTAGTCATCATGTGGAACTGTCTGTCTCGGCCATGTGGCTCAGTGGGTGAGCGTCGACCTATGAACCAGAAGGTCACGGTTTGATTCCCGGTTGCAGGCTCCATCCCCAGTGTGGGGCGTGCAGGAGGCAGCCGATCCATGGTTCTCTCTCATCATGGATGTCTCTCTCTCTCTCCCTCTCCCTTTCTCTCTGAAATTAATAATTTTTTTTTTAAATAAAAGAGACCCAGTTTCCTCCAGGCTTTCAATAAGCCACACCCCTTCCTTAAGGAAACACTCGTATTGAATGAGCTTACTCCTGACAGCCCAGGGGGCGATCTGGGAAAACCTAGAAGGCGATACTGGCCCTTTCCCGCCGCCTTCTCCTCACCCCAGGATATCTTCCCATTGATTTTTAGAGAGAGTGGAAGGGAGAGGGAAGGACAGAGAGAAACATCGATGTGAGAGAGACATCAATTGGTTGCCTCCTGCACACGCCCTGACCAGGGCCCGGGCCGGGGAGGAGCCTGCAACCGAGGTACGTGCCCTTGACTGGAATTAAACCCCCGTACCCTTCAGTCCACAGGCCGACGCTCTATCCACTGAGACAAACCAGCTAGGCCCCCCCCCCCTTTTTTTTAAATAAAGGACAAATGACCAAGATTTTTAAAGTAATTTTAATGTGCATGAACCATGAGTAGATTCACACAAATGAATTGTGAGACCCCTCCTGTGTCCAAGTCATTAAGGTTTCACGTTAACTTTGGAGCCTATGAAATGTTTTAAGTTGTAACGATTTGATGGTCTAGAAACGAATATGTAATCACGTTCTTTAAGTCTTGGGCGGACTTGCAAGACAAGCAGGTAGTGTAAAATCCCCTTTCATGGTGCAAAGTTTGAAACTGCTCGGGAAGCCAGGGATATTTAAACGATGGGATAAAAACATTGCTACATAGACTTCCAAAATGTTGGCTTTAAGCTCGGAATTAAAACAATTTGCCAAGTTTCTGTGTTACTGTTATGAAGAGAGGTCAAAGGCTTCACATTGGCACTCGCTGGACCTAGGTGAATGAGACGTAAAATGGAATTCATTCTTTTTATTTTTTTAAAAGACCGGAAAGACGACTCTCATTTGGTACCTCTGGGTAGGTGGGTGCCACCCCTCCCCGTAAAATTCCTAAGCACATAGAAACACTTTTAAAAGTTTATAAAGGAATTCTCTTAATGGCTCATCTTATAGTGGGCGCTTATTTATGCCACTTTATATGTAACTAGAAGCCCAGCGCACAAAATAGTGCAGCCCCGCCCACCCGCGCTGGTCTTTGGTCATTACGGCGTTATGGTGTTTCGGCCTCAGGCCTTTTATTAATATAGATAGCTTTGTTACTTTTATGCTGGGAAACTCAGGTAACTTAAGTCCCCCGGGAGAATGGTGGCTGTCTGGGTTATTGGAAACCATAACATCCAAAACAGAATACTGGCCTGGCCAGCGTGGCTCAGTGGTTGAACGTTGACCTGTGAACCAGGAGGTCACTGTTCATTCCTGGTTGCGGGCTCGATCCCCAGTAGGGAGCGTGCAGGAGGCAGCCGATCCATGATTCTCTCTCATCATGGATGTTTCTATCTCTCCCTCTCCCTTCCTCTCTGACATCAATAAAAAATATAATATTAAAACCACAAAACCAGAATACTGCACAATTTGTAGGTTTAAAAAAAAAAAACCTTTAGGGTATTTCTCTCCTTCTTTAAATTGATAATGCTCTCCTGGGGAGAGATTCTATATGTGGAGGGTTACAGTGCCTGATCCTTAAAACATTCCGAAGTATGACCGGTGAAGAGGGAGTGAGGTGATGGCTATGTTAGAAATAAAGACTTTTCTTGTTGACGGCTTTGGTCAAAAAATCGTTTAGTGGATCATTTTACACGTCACTGGACTCGATTTAAAATGGTGCTACGGTGGCTAAAGCCTGGTTCTGCGTTGGTTGGGGACCAAACCGCTAACGCCTGACGCAGAAGAACCCTGGGATGGTGTTGCGATCGTTCGATATTTTAAAAGTGGTCCCGGAAAATGTGAGCCTGACACTTCAGGATGTTAGCACGAGAAGTGTGTGTTTGTGCAATCGGAGGAAGTGGGGGTTCTTGGGGGTCAGGGTGTGTGTGTGCTTCATAGCGAATTCTGTGCCAGGAGCTGCGTGGAGGTTCCCGGCTCAATCTGTCCCCGCCTGCCCGCTAGTATGAGGTGGGAACACCTGGATGAAGGTGTTCATTCAGGCAGGACACCTGAAGGAAGACATTAGAAGCTTCTTTTTGGGTTAAAAATAAGAATAATAATTGGCAAAACTCCCCGTGCGGTAAGTTCAGTGTGAGCACTGCGCGTTCAGTACCATTCCGCAGGAACAGCGCCCGGGCGCTTCCGGTCTCACCGATCAGGCCCTGGGGGCGGCGGCTGCCTTTTCTAAGATCCATGTATTGCTTTTTGCTTCTATTTAGTATCTCAGTGACTTGGAAAAAAATGTGAATAAAGTGAGTGACTGTGACCCGCTGGACCTTCTGCTTTGTGGGGACGGATTCTGGTGAGCACAACACGTGCGGTCACATCCACTCCTAGATAGATGGGTGTGTCATCAGGGAAAAGTTTAGCAAGATGCGTTAGATACTTTCTACGGGTGTTGAGTCGAACTATCCGTGGCTCAGTGGGTTGAGCGTCGATCTATGAACCAGGAGGTCACGGTTCGATTCCCGGACATGTTGCGGGCTCGATCCCTCGTGTGGGGCGTGCAGGAGGCAGCCAGTCCACGATTCTCTCTCATCATGGATGTTTCTCTCTCCCTCTCCCTCTCCCTTCCTCTCTGAAACCAATAAACATATATTTTAAAAAGAATTAATTAATTAAAAAAATCTTCTTTAAAAAATGGCTTGGTATCTCCCAGCCTGAATACAGTGCAGCCGTGGGCACAGAGGTGCCGGGTGGTGGCGACGTCTGGTTGAGGGACAGGAAGGAGCTGTGAACACTCAGCGAGCGGGGGCGGGGGGGGCACCCCTCTCTCTCCTTTTCCTCTAGCTCACCCCGTGGCTGCCAAGGGGAGCCTGCAGGAGCCCGGGTCCGAGGCAGGAACTTCCTTCTTCAGCGAAGAGGGTGAGGCTGAGCCATGTGATTTTTTTTTTCTCTGAAGGGCATGGCTCAGTGACAAAAGTGGGCATTTTGGGGCTGAAGGCCCAGTAACGGGGAGTCTCAAGGAACCAGCAGGTAGTGCAGAGAGGGACGAACTCAGGAATGTAACTTCACCAAGTTTATCTGTGGACCCAGGTTCGCCCCTGCCCCGCTCACCTGCTCACACCTTTCACCCGTGGAGCTGGTCCTGATTCGCATAGCAGACCCAGGAGACCTGAGCTGGCCTCTGGGCCGACCCCCTGGGGGACACCTGGGACTGATCTCCATAGCACTGGGCTGAGGTGGAGTGAACGGGAGACATCCCAGCCCCCCCCAGGACCATCACAAACGGTTGAAAACCAAAGTGCATTGTGAACGCAACTAGAGGAAAAGGAAAGATCACCTACAGCGAAACGACGTTTCAAACGACAGTGAGTTTGTTCATCGCGGGAGGCCAGGAGGACGTGGCACATGCAAAGTGCTGGAAGCAAGTAACTGTCAACTCAGAATTCTATACCCAGTGAAACGTCCCTCAGGAGCCCGACCAGGTACAGGAAACGTGGAGAACTGACGGCCAGATGAGCTGCTTTAAAGGAATAGGTGAGGATGTTCTTTTAAAAAATTTTTATTTTACTGGTTTCAGAGAGGAAGGGAGAGGGAGAGATGGAAACATCAATGATGAGAATCATTGATCGGCTGGGGATCAAGTTGGCAACTCTGGCAGGTAGGTGCCCTGACTGGGAATTGAACCCTGACCTCCTGGTTCATTAGTTAACACTCAACCACTGAGCCATGCTGGCCGGGCAAGGATGCAATTTAGACAAAAGAGAGAATACCAGGAGGAAGTCTGGAACGCTGGGAATGAAGAAAGAGCAACAGACACAGTGTTGGGTGGCTTGCTGTCCATTCCTGCAACAGCCCTTTCCAACACACCTGTGTATGCTAATACGGTGATGCGTGGATACACCTGAGGATGGGGCTGGCTGCCTGGGAGCCGGCCTGTGATTGGAGGATGGGCTCTCATTCCTGCCCTCCCACTTCCGGGGCGGGAACAGAGGCTGGAGGCTGGTGTTGGGCAAGGAGCTGGGTGGGGGACGCAGAGGAGGTTGGGGAGCGGGGCACCCTGGAGAGAGGGGCGCGGAGGCTCTGTGCTCGCCCACACCTTGCCCTGCGCATCTCCTCACCGGACGATTCCTGAGCTCCTGCCTCTTAGAATAAACCATCAATCCGGTAAGTGACCCGTTTTCCTGATTTCCCGGAGGCATGGGCTGCATTAGTTGTCTTTTGAAATCTAGAGAAAACACGGAACAGACATAAACGACGTTCCCACTCTCCCTATGCCCTCCCCCACCCGCCTGGAGATTCCAAACTGGTGATTCTTAAGCCAGACTGGGGCCCGGGGGTGGGAGCAGGCTGCAACTGGCCGGATCTTGAACCTGGCTCGGAAGGTGCTGTGAATATTACCGTATTTCAAGTGCTGAGCTTTTGGGGAGAAGAGTATAAAAACCCTGAAATTTCACTTAAAAGACTGACCCTTTCC